GACGTAGCACCCCTCAAACAGCGCCAGCCTTTGATGGCAGCTGGGGCGAGGAATCAGTTGGCAGGCGCTGCAGACTGCAGTCGGAGCCAGGTTGGCCACCGCGTGGTCGGACCCCAGGCACTCGATACACCGACAGTGGGGGTCGTCACCTTCAATGGAGCCCGGACACGAAGGACAGGGGCGCTCCACAGGTGAGTCCATTTTTGCTTTACAAAAAGTTTCTTTGTCCGTCTCACTTCACTCAGTTACTCACTGCCTTGCTGAAGAGAAATGGATGGCAGTGAGGAGAAGAGGCCTCCTTTTATGCGGTGAGATGCGCGCGCATTCAGGTAGGCCAGCGCAGGGGCCGACTACGTCTATAAAGTCTCAGTGAATGAATGCATGCATGATAGGATCGAGGGGAGTACCCATAGAGTCCAGTAGAGGGCTGAGCCTGTGAGAGATATAACTCATGCTGTGCTGCAAAACTGTGTTCAAATAAAAGAGCTTTATTTAAAATGCTAGGGTAGATTTAAACATTTGCAACAACCCCCAATAGGTTTGAGTAAAGTGATGCACAAGACATTAAGAATATTTGAAGTTGATGGAATAGTGCAGCAATAACAAAATGTCTTTGGGTTTGAATATTTTCACTCATACAGTTTGAATGAAAAACAAATTGACAGTTTATATGATATGATCAGACAGACTGAATAACACTACTTTCACAACCATAATGATATTTTCAGTAAGAGCAAAATACAACATAAAAGATGTGTAATGGAAATGACTTTAATTTTCTATTATTTAAAATGTAAACTAGAGCTGCATCTTGATTGTCTTGGTGAAGCACACAAAGCCACATTTAGCAGCTATTATGCTGTCTCTCTTCAGTGTTTGTACCAGATAAATAATACATGGAAAAGTTAGCTTCATTAAGTGTGATGCATATGTGCTGTCTTTATAAAGTGGCTTGTTTGACACTGATGGTATAAAGCAGGGAGTTAGTGTGAAGAGTAGGCTGCTGCATGAGGAGAGGAGGAAGGCAACTGACTGGCAGATTGCTTGGGAGGCTGGCGGGAGCGATGTAGGCAGCAATAACACCATTATTGGCAGTTACTCACACGTCTCCTTATCATGCACCTTATTTATAACAATAGTTAAAAGAAGTTAAAAGAAGTGAGGAAGTCATACCTTTTGATAATCATTATATAACCATTATATTTGTCAGACAAACACTTGCCAGCGCGGACATGTTCCACTATTTTCTCTTAACATGACACATTTCATTTGTATAAAGACAACAAGTCTGCTTTATTTGTTTCCACAAGAAACAATCACTTCAAATAATGCATAAGCATATTGTCTGCAAAATGTAGTGTTGTAGTATAATCAACAGGAGACCATCAAGGTATTAACTGTTTTTGGTAGTAGCCTACGTCAATGTATAATAGCTGAGATATTGAATATTTAAGAAATAGAAAAACTTCACCAAAATGTTCCACAATAATACCTTCAAATACTTCAAACATGTATTACTGTAGTATAGCCAGTGTTGGAGGATGTGTGAAATGTTTTTGGTAGAACTTTACTTTATGACCGGAAAGTTATTTAAGTTATTTTGTTGTAACAGTTTTTGGCGTTGCACTTTGTAGACGGTCAGTTTGCATGTTTTGATATACATTAGGTTGAAGTTCCTTGTATATACCTTACTTTGGTTGTTAAGAGACCTCGTTTGTGTTTTGAGGACGTTTCGTGTTTGAATTATTAATCAATGAGGTTTGAATCTGTCAATATCTTTCTAATTTAACCGAACTAGGAGAGCTCTCACCCTGCCCTCCTAACACTATACTTATCAGTAAAAGCTCTGAGAGGGCTTTAAAGCCTGACTAAATGCCTCTCTTTTAAATCCAACGATATTTCAAAACCTTTACCTACCATCAGGTGTCGTTTGAAAAAAATTACTACCGAGAGCCCCTCGCTCTAAAGCTCCTTTGGTCGTTAAGTCAAATACAAAATAATTTAAAAAAAGGCATTGCGAAGGTACATGGTCTTTATTGGCTTTGCAATTGATATTAAGATAATCCAAAAGTAACGGAAAGTAATCAAGTTACATTACTTTTAAATAGATAGATTAGGTTACATTATGACTCATTTTAAAGTGGATACATTTATGGTAGTTTTTGTTCTAATGATTTCCACTTTTAGAAGCATAAATATTTCCTTGCTTTCCAATCATATGAACATCCATTTGATGGAGATACCCCAATATACCAATCACACACACACAATCATATATATCAATGTATATGTAATACCTTCACAAATTAAAAATCTGTCACAGAGGTTAAGCTGTTTTGTTATTAAAATGTTGTGTAAACCTGAAGGGAAGTGAAAAAGGTTGATACTATACTATGCATAACGATTATCTCTACACTGAATACATTTTTAGTAGTTAGTTATAAATGTAAATATACAGACACGTTTTTGATGTAGTTCACTATCTATAACAACTATATACCCATAATTGATTGATCCCATTCTAAAGTGGTTAATGTACAGCAGTTGTCATGCTTTTTGTAGAAAACAGGTGACTTTTATTTATTGTGTTTCAACTATTGTGTTTGTGTTCTTTTTTTCAAAATATGGGGATGCATTTACAATGTGAATAAAATCAAACAAAATCCAAGAGCTCCACTTCACATCACCTCAAGTGGTGTGCCTCTTTAATATTGAGAAATTATGCAATGACAAACATGTCACATACATCTCACATGTCATGTATTCCGTGTAAAACATTAAAGGATAAGATTAGCCATATAAACTTAAGTTAACAAACAACCAAACTTCGACAACAAAACCCCACCCAGTTTGATAGGGGTGTCTCCATTGGCCTCCCTGTCTGTTAATCCGTTCCCTCTTTATTCCGCTCCTGCCATTGGTCGGCGGTGACGACAATCCCGAGACGTGATCCCGCCCACCGAGCGGATCAAGTTTGAATGAACAACAGCAGTCTGTTCTAGAGGTGCTAGTTGCATTTGCAGTAATTATTAAAAGTGTGTATCATATCGCGGGGGCGCTGATCAAGGATGGACATGAAGAAAAGAATCCACCTAGAGTTGCGGAACCGCACTCCGTCAGATGTAAGTTGGCCTCACATATCGCTGCTAATGTTTCACTCTCAGCTAATGGAGAATCTTTCGTGTGATGTCTTGGCGTGGGGATACAAAGTTTCCTCCAAGTTAAATAGGTGATGGTAGACGTCGGATCACATTGTTGCTTTGAGAACATGTTTACAGTTGGCAGGTCGCTGCAGGTACGCCGGGTGAACTTTTGTGCACGTCTTGGATGTGCAGTTTGAGAATGCTGCACAGCTTTTCATGCCAGCGGTATAAACAAGGCAAGCAGCACGAGAAGCCATATCTGTAACTTTTCATCTAAGAAACGCGCCCCGTTTCCCCTTTAAATTCCCTCGGTATTGCTATGTACTCTTTGTTTGATGGGTTATCTGCATGCTGTGACTGCGAAATTAATATACCTGAACATTTAAGCCGTGCGCGTGGCGCGTTAAGGATGCGGATGCTCAAAGTCATGACATTATCAATGATGCATAAAGATCATAGCCTCGATTTATTGCCGTACAAATGCGTCCTACACCGACAGTTAACTCAAGCAGTCGTTTGGACTCGTTTATTTCTGCAGGAGGTGCATTCAAACCTACTCGAGCCATGCAGCCTGTATCTGGAGCCACAGTGCGCACAGATGGCCGAAAGAAAGCGGTGTTAGCATGGACCGTTTCCGACCACCAGGCTGGGCGAAAACCTAGAGAAAACACAGATACATGCTTCAGAAACACCCACACATTGTTATTTACTGCAGGGTGTGCATTCAGCCGTTTCACAGAGACTCTTGTGGTTTTTCGACGACACTTCCAGCAGCCATAATGAAAACAAATGGTCGAGCCGCGTTGTTGTTGCTCTAGTTTTCCAGAACTAGGACAAGCCGCCATTTTACTGAGAAACAAAGACATCCGAAATACACCGAATATCCCGTTCATTCGACACAAACGACGAAGGATTCATCATACCTTCCTATTAACAGAGGTCTATACACGCCTTCAGTCCAAACGGAAAGTGTTTTGCAGAAGCAACAATGAAACGTTTGCCTGGCAGCTATCTAATGTGCCTCAGCTGCCCCTCCTACTCACAAATGACCCTGTGCACGACTCGTAGGGCTGTTTCTGCCTCCGTTTCCACTAATCGCTCTGTACCTTCCGCACACATCTATTACTACGTTCAAACTCGGTTATAAAGCGCGTGTCTGTTTATTATGAAAACGTAGCTAAATGTGATATTTACGTAATGGTCTGAGAGCCAATGCATCGCGATAACTACTGCGTTGTAATGTGTCTAAGGATTATTGATGGACTGTAATGTTTTCATAGTTTCGGTGCTCAGTGCTGATTGGCTGTTAAAGGCTGTGTTAATATATCCGATAACAGCACACCTGAGAGACTGCCTATCAGTTTATTTATTATCAATGCAACGAGCCAAAAGCAACGCTCATGTAAATGCAATGTAGCTCAATGTGTGTTTATCGAGGGCTATGTGGATAGAGAACCCTTTGTTACTTGGTAAACGGCACTTAAGGAAAACAAATGCAACATTTGTCACATAGAGAAATATAAGTATAAAGTAAAGGGAAATACTTCAGTATGTACAAGTAGCTGAAATCTTTAACCAAGTACCATATTTGAGTACATGTACTAAATGGCAGAAATAAAGTGGCAGAAGTGTGGATCCTGGATGGAACCAAGTAAAAAAAAAATGGCAAAACCAAAAACTTTAATTCCTCCATTACAATAACAAGTCCTTCTTTGTTTTAAGTACAAATTAAAAAAAAATCACCACAATTCTAAATACAATACATAAAAAACAGAATTCGTATAATTATTAGTACCACATTAGTTACCTTTTCATTTCTTATCAGGAAAAGTACTTGAATGAAGCAGTAGACTTTAGCAGTAGCAATTAAGTTAGCCATTTACTAACATTTTATTTATTATGCAAACATGATCATTCAAAGCGACTTACAATTAGTAAAGTCAAACTCAATCTCAGTAATATTAAGAGCTTCTCATCAAAACTTTAAGTGCATCCCTCTTTAATAAAAAAAATCTGAGATCTTTAACTTGGAAATTGTCTAGGCCTCATATTCAGTTTGTCTTTTTTTTTAATAACTATTCGGAAATGTGCTTTTCAGGTCAAAGAACTTGTTCTAGACAACTGTCGCTCAAATGAAGGAAAGATCGAGGGTCTAACAGATGAGTTTGAGGAGCTGGAATTTCTAAGCACAATCAATGTTGGACTGACCTCAGTTGCCCACTTGCCGAAGCTAAATAAACTCAAAAAGGTGGGTGTTTTTCTGCACAAAACAAGTCTGTTACTTAAGGCTTTGGGGTTTTGCATATTTTGATCTGTTTTAATTGATCCACAGCTTGAACTCAGCGATAACAGGATCTCAGGAGGGTTGGAAGTTCTGGCAGCGAAATGCCCCAACCTCACACATCTCAACCTCAGTGGCAACAAGATTAAAGACCTCAGCACAATAGGACCATTGGTAAGTGAGACCCCAAAATAGTTGCTGAATAATTCACAATATACCAAGCAGCTAGCTGTAATTATTGAGCAAACTTGATTTTTCTTTTGACAGAAAGAATTGGGAACCCTTAAAAGTCTGGATCTGTTTAACTGTGAAGTGACAAACCTGAACGAATACAGAGACAACGTGTTCAAGCTGCTACCCCAGCTCACGTACCTGGACGGGTACGACAAAGACGACAAAGAGGCACCAGATTCTGATGCTGAGGTCTATGCAGAGGGCTTGGATGATGACGATGACGATGAAGATGGTGAGTTTGCGGACTCGCACACATTCATGTGTTCTTTCTAGCATCTGTTAAGGTGGGAACATCTGGCTAATAACAACAAACTTGTGTCACCCAGATGTCGATGAGGAGGAGGATGATGAAGATGCAGCACCAGGAGATGAGGAGGAGGAGGAAGGAGAGGAAGACGAAGAGGAGAATGAAGAAGAGGAAGAGGAGGACGTCAGTGGAGAGGTGAGAGTACATCAGATTTGCACTCTGTAATGATACAAAAATCATTCTAAATGAAATTGTATTAACTTTACCATTTGTTTGTTTTTTTAAAGGAGGAAGAGGACGAAGATGTGAATGACAAGGAGGATGAGGATGATGAAGGTGAGTAAAATAATGGCTGACTTTAAAACATAAGCAGTCTCCTAAATCTACTCTACTAGTTGCTAAGTGTATATATTATATACAAATCTTTATAGTATATATTTGTTGCAGTAAGTACACAATAAATCAACAGTTTTCATGTTTTCAGTGAAACGCATGTCATTGTTGCCCGTTAAACATATTGAATGCATTTCCTTCAGTATAAAAACATTTTGTATGCGTCTTTTTTTAAAACAAATATTTAAAGTTTTTATATTTAGCTTGCATGTTCTCTCCAACAACTACTGAGCAATATTAGTAGTTATTACATTTTGTCTGGAAAGAGTTTGTCAATTGTAATAATTCAAAGTAGGTAATTTGTATCAAATTTGTCTTGCTACTAGAGAAGGCAGGAAACAACTGCTTTTATACTAATAGGAAACAATATTATGCATGTACCCTTGTATTGGCAATCAGACTGCAACTTTATAATGACACTGCCAATTACATTTATGAACAGACAGTAATGTGTTTTTACAAAAATCCAAAAGTCTCGCCAGCCACTGTTAGTCCTAAATGATGGAACCTGCAAAACAACTTTAACGGAAGACATGGATTTACTTCTAGTCTTTGCCTCTCTTTAAACACAACTCTCGTTTTTGTAGAAGAAGAGCGAGGTCAGAAGAGAAAAAGGGATCTGGATGAAGAAGGGGAAGAAGGAGAAGAAGGAGAAGACGATGAAGACGATTGAGGGTCCTCTTGAAGCTAAGTCATGAACTGTTAAACTTGTATCTCCCAGTCACTTCCCAACAACCCCATGTCATTTCCCCCCCCGTTTCATATTGCAGTAGGAGTGGTTTTTGTTATTGGCCAGTCAGGTAGATGGGGTTGTCTGGAGAAATATCTTAAATGTATGTACCTTTGATGCTCCTGTGTTCCAGTCTTTACAGTCCACTTTTATCTGCTCTGTGGACACCAATTTTGTAATATCCAATAATGGCAAAGATAAACCTTTTTAAGAAATGTTTTTTTCTTTTCTAACGTTGTGTAAGACCAGTTTCTGATGTATTTTATTTAAAACCCCCTTCAAAAGAAAATAACAAAATACAAAACAAAAAAAGAGTGCATGTCTAAACATTTTAAAGTCAAATACTGGATTTCATGTATGGCTGTCCTCTCCTCGTCTTAAACTTATTTTTGCATCATACTTTTATCTCTTTTTCTTTTTAAATGTAAGTTATGTGTTTGTAGTGTCACCAGTATGCCAATACTCTCTGCTGTCCTGGTGTGAAACTTCTGTCTGAACATGCACAGTGTGACCCTCACAGGGCATATTTTTAAATCCTAGCAAAGAAATGTCTGCCCTTGTCAAAGCCGCTCCTCCTCCTTAAACCCTCAGCTTTGATAGTTCGGAAATTACGTGTTATTGTAAATACTGACCAAATCTATTTTTTTGTATTCTCTTTGATGACGGCAGACATTGAACAGACAACTGAGGTGAAACTTTGACTTGTAATAAGATATTAAATATGTATGCTGCTTTATCTAAAAAAAAAAACGCAGTGTGACATTTCTTGAATTTGAACATAACTTTGTATGCATAATCTTTCCATAAAGAGAAATGTTCAACATCAAAACTCATCATCACTTTTCCCATGTTCTTTTCTGTGACACACAGGTGGCAATGTTTGAATTTGTGGTGGTAGTGTAGAGAAATACTTGATATAAACCAAGGTTACAACTGCAAATTATGTGCATAGAAATGTTATTGTTACAAAATATGTAAACTCTGGAAAAACGGTCAGTTACTTGGACTTTGTTTTCACTATTATTCGTACTGGTCAAATTGGCCTACCTCAGTGATTTTTCACTCCATGTTAAATCCACTGTCATCAGCCAAATTGTTTAATTTTCCCTCCCATTCACTTCAATAAATCCCTTTTTATATACGTTTTTGAGTTTGTGGTCCTTGTGCAACATTGTCATGTCAAATGCAAAGTATATACATGGTAACAGTTTTAGGTCATTGATGGAAAGATGATATTTTTCAGATTGAGATGTCATACTGTTAATTCTATTGCACAAAACTCTTCACCAAAGACCACGCCAATCACATTTAAACTGGGTTTAATTGTCCAAAATGTTAGTCAAGTTCAGTGCCAAACTAAATGGGTAGAATTACCAAGGTTACCTTTGTCTAAGCCAAAATGCCATTCAATTGTACAATACGTTTTCATAATTTAAAAGCCTCTCTATACTGTGATTCCAGGTTCCCAAAGATGTACCAATTAGTTTGTTGGTGATAGTCCTCAGTACACCTACACAAGAAGCCCTGACAAAACTCAACTCCAATCTAACTTCACCTGTCTCTCCACTGTAGCTGACCCATCTCTGGTAGATCCTTATCCCACTGTCTACTTTCACTGTAGAGTTAGATTTTTCCTGCAAAAAACACATTTACCATTATAGTGTCACTGGTTCCAGTCTGCATGTAAAGGGCTTGTTTTATGGACCCTTTATGTTCCAACTATGATGTGATCAGGGAAGACTTGAGACCGTAACTGACTTTTTTACCAACTCTGGGCACAGATCCGTTTCTGCATGAAGCCGATCTAATCATTTTCCTTATCTCAGTCCATCAGTAATATGAAAGGGTGAATGAAATGGGCCTTGGTTAAAAGACACATTGCATGTTGTGCAGCATCTTTGTCAAATGTTAATCAAGTGCCCATTTTACTTTTTACACTGAGGGGAAAAAACATGAAACGGTCAAATGTAGGCATTTATACCACAATTCAACCTAAATCTGATGATTGAACAAGTGAGCAGCAGAGATTACCTGGAGTTAAGCACATATCACTCACTAATGGTGATATGCTTAGTTTAAATGTTAAAGGATGGTTATTATCACAGTTTTCAGCACTGTTAGGAAAATGCAAGATTATATTATTTATACCTTATCTGATGTTATGTCGTTGGAGTCACAAAACTAATACCATAAAAGGTACAGTGTCACACAAATCTTGCACCAACTGGAAACATTCAGCAAAATCTATCAAGCATCACAATCATTACTTGCGCAGCCACAGCATACAAAAAATGGGATTAACAAATATACATGTTATTAGTTAAAAAGGTAATTTGTGACAAATAAATAGAAGCAAATATACATTACCACCTACTTGGCCCTAAAACCCAAAACAGCCAGCAAAGCTTCTGTTGAGACTATACCGGAGTCAGGCAAGTCCACCACCTCTAAATACATGTCTCCCCTGCTGCTTAACCACTATTTAAATAAAGAGTAAAGTACTAAAGTGAGTGATCATCCACTCCTTGGAAAGAAAGACTGCATAAGGGTAGCTATAAGTCAGTATTATGAAGTCAATTTATAGCCAGTAACATCGGTTAGGGTGAAAAAAGGGACGGGATAAGCAGCTCGTGAAAAGCATGAGCCACGTCTGCAAAAGCTTGTGTTGTCTGTCAGGTGCAAAAATACTTCACGTCAGCCGTTTTGAAAGGATGCTGCAGCTCGCTGAAAATGGTGTCTGCAGCAGGGAGTAAGGCCTTGTGGAAGCAAAATAGGAGCCAGCGTGACAAGTCTTTTTATCCTCCAGGTTTGCCTCGGCAAAAAATGAGAATTGTGGTTTGGTCATAAGAGGTTGGGAGATGGTTTTTTTTTTGCGTAGTGATCAAGGTATTGCATCGTGAATGGCAGGTTAGGCACAGTGAGACAAATACTCTAGAGGTCTGGCAGAAAATATGCAACAACTGATCCCAACACTTGAGTGTGCTAGATCAGGAACAAGTAGTAAAAATACAGACAATACTAAATGGATTGGATCTCAAACATCCATCGAGTTCATGTTAAGGTGGAAATCCATGAACATTGCCTCGTCTCCATTACTTATCACATTTGTTAATATTACTATTTTCCAGTAATTGTTCCAGTTAAGACATTATCCAACACTTCATATTAGTGTATGCGCTATGCAGGGCAGCAGGAATGAATATACAATTTATCAAAAAAGAGGCTGAGGAGGGCTCAGAAGCTTGTTGGAGGTCAGAATTTGGGGCAAAGGAAGCAGCTTTGCCAGTCCAGGTGGTTGAGAGGTCAGACGTTGTTGGGGCTAACGTTCTTCAGGTTGTTGAGCTCCAGCTCCAGCTGGCGTATTCGCACATCCTTGGTGGTCAGCTCCTCCTTCAGCCGCCGCAGTTCATCCTGCTGCCGAAAGAACATCCGCAGGAGCTACGTAAAGAAAACAAAAACTCCTGCAAGTTACACATACAAGTATTAACATGTTAACAGAATACATTCTTAGAATGTAAACAGATGGAAGACACTTATAGTCACTGCAAAAAGCTGAGGCAGATTCACTCTACTCAGAAAGACAACTTTTACACTAGGGGAACAGCAGGGTATAGAGATGGCAGCTGTGTGAAGTCACAGCATTATTCAACACACACCTCGTTCTCTGTCCTGGGGGGTACATTCTCCAGCAGGTCGATCCCATTCACTACCACACTCTTCTTTTCCTTCACTGGGGCCTTGAACACTAACTGGTTCGGTCGCTGGTAACCCTCCTTCAGGGATATCAAGACTGGGTCTGTTCACATATAACAAGCAAAATAATGTAAAAACCAACAAAATAGCACAAAGAGGCTTAAAGGCACTTTTCACAAATAAAAGATACCATTTTTACCACGTTACTATAGTGGTATTCATTAATCTTGATTATTTTCTATATTGTAAGTAATCCTGGTCTCCCTGGAAAGAGCGATGCTGTTGAGTTTTTGAGATGTATGTTTTCGGCGCTTTGACTATCACAAGCCGAGTACCATCTTTTTCAATTAAAATATATTAACACATTTAAGGCAGAAATCTCATGGGCAATATCTTCAACACTCACACACAAACAATCTATATTGATGAGTAGCACAACAGATAAGAGGAACATTTGTGACTTTGGATTTAACTGTCCCTTTACAGGTCACCAATTTCTCAATTCTCTGTGTTTGTCTTAAATCTAACTCTTGCATATGTACTCATAGCTTTTTAACATTTGGAAAACCATATGTGCAATTCATTCAATACCTGATCTGCAAACTATAATCTGTAGTTTTCCCAATACAAGATTCCCCCTATTGTTTGCAGTTAGATGAGTGTCAAATGACTTCCACAGAGGTAACATTGGAGAGGGTAATGTTCACTTTGAAAAGGCAGTCTGTAATGCTTTATTATGTCTTAAAACTGTAAGTCCTGGATTTAGTGTTAAAGTGGCTGACCTTATAATTTAAAGACCTCATAAAATGCATATCAGAGTTGGAGTTAGAGTATATATAATTTTAAGGAAATATATGTGGGAGTTAGCACCCAACGCAGGATGATGTGTTGGTATAAGTTTATTTTTGGCAAAAAGTGTATTCTGTTAAATGTTGTGTGTCTGAAGTGATGTTCACCTCTGTTAATGCCGCTCAGCCATTCGCTTGCAGACAGTGCAGGTTCTGTTCCTGCAGTCATGGGGTAGATGTCCTCCTGGTACGTGTCTGACTGTAAACCAAGAAACATACATTCTTGTTTTATTGATTAGATTTGGTATCGGATGGAAAAAAAGATCATATTATGTTGTCTTAAACAAGATTTCATGTTTTAAAGCATTACATGTAACCTCTCAGCATTGGTTTTCGTATCCACACCAATGCCTTCAGCGAGCACTTAGACACTTACTGGCCTTTTCTCTCTGTGTTGCTACACTTGTAAGTCAAACCAGGAAATGAAAAATGATCCTTTTACATTCAGATTAATTACCTCTCCTAAATGACTCTCAGCTCTGATTACTTAGCTGTGTATTTCATAGCATACCAGACTGCTGCACTGTATGTCAAAGAGTTTCCAAGAGATGTTGATTAACCACAAACAAAATGTTTGGCTCTTTAACCAAGTATGTGCTGATTAATTGCAAAAATGTTTGCAGATATAATAATAAGAGAACAGAGTTAAATCTGTTCATTATTCATTTATACCCACTAACCCTCCTCGGCACAATCATGGAGATGGGCTCGATCAAACCCTTCAGGGTGACGAGCTTGTAGAAGCGGAAAACCTCGCACGCTCCCACGTCCAGCCCGTGCTTCGGCATCACACCTGCAGACAATCATCAGAATCGGTGGTGACACAACCTTTTTGACAAAATAAAACAATTCCATCCAAGCAATTCAACACCAATGGCAGTCACAAGAACAAGAGAAAAGTATCAACCTGCTGCGATGTGACACGAAGTTAGTGGAAATCATAAAGCTACTCTGAGGGAATGTATTTCAATTATTCTGCCTCACTTTTCCCTTCAGTTCATTTCATCCTTTCAGCCATGCAGCACCACTTTCAGAGTAGTAAATCCCTCCTCCCTTCCCTAAAGACTGCTAATGAAGCAGGTAGTATCTGTCACTCCGCTCTCAGCAGGAGAGATCACATTTGCTGACTTACCGAGTCCTTTCTGCGGGGTCGGGGACCGGAACTCCATTAGGTATTGTAAGTACGGCTTCTCTGTGGTAATCTCAAAGTACCGGATGTTGCCGTCCCCCTGCCAAGGCACCAGAATGTGTCCGTTACATTACAGTTCAAGAAGTAACTAATTTTTGACCAGATTAGTAAAGCCTCATCTCATTGTTGTGCTTTGCTCCAATTCCCAAAATAAACTGTGCCGTCTTAGATTTCAATACTTCTTTAAATGCTTTACCTAACATTTTAAATGACTGAGGTTTTTCAAATTAATGAAGGGTGTTGAAGATTAGAAAAGCAAATATGAATATCTTTTAAATCAAAATTGAAATAATACCCTAACACCTAGTGTCAATTCTCAGAATAGTTTGCGTTCAGACGTGTCTGTGCAGCAACCAGGAGGAAATATGTGATTGGTGTCAAATATAAGGCATACAAATTGACATTCATAAATACATATTTGACACTAACACATAAACATTATTTTGCTATTGTGTTGACTTGGAACCGTTTGTTCACTTTATTTAGGGGGAATTTTCTGCTGGTTTTAGTTAAAGGGATGCATAATGCTCAAATTCTATAATTTATTTTATCATTTTAATTTATTTATGCATTTTATGTTTGTATGCTCTTGGCACTTGGCACTCAAAAAAAAGACAACATTGACCTTTGTAGCTCATTATTTTGTTTTGTATTTGCCATATTTATTTTTGAACTGTTTGCCTCTATCCTGTTATTTCGTGAGATGAATATATTAAAAATAAAAACCTGTAGTACAGTTTTGATAATTTAATAGACATCAGTTTGGTTCTGAATGAGGTCAATCTTAAAAAATGTACAGTTCTGAGAAATAATTTCCTTGTTGTGACCCAGTGATAGGCAGCACTGACCTTGCCTGCCAGGTACAACATGTGTGTGTCAGCATCATAGAAAGGAAACAACAGTCCTGACAGGCCGTCTATGTCCTCCTCCACAATTGGCATGGACAAATCCTCCTAGAAGGAGAAACACACACATACACACAATGCTAATTAAACACACACTCGCTCCACCCACTCTGGCATTACATGCGCGGGCCATATGGAGGTGTTGTCTGACCTGGTCCCAGAGAGCGATCTGCCGGGTGTTCCAGCGTGAGACCCCTGTGGTGAGCAGTCGCTTCATGTTGCCCAGAAACACCACCCCGGTTCACGCGGTGGTTCTTACAGCTGGCTTGCTGGTGGAGCAGCACACAGAGACATAGTGTTAATGATACAGGGACCAGCTCGGGGGGTTATTCTCTTATGTATTATCAGTATTCATTCTTAGGACTATTATGTTGTTGTGACAATACAGAGAAAGGATACAAATACATTAGCATCATTATTTATAGTAGGGAGCACACAGGTAGCATATGCTCTATAATAGGGTTGGCAAACAGCCTCAGATGTAATCTTTGAAAGTAGATCTGTATTTCAGGTTCATATTTTCATGATGTTTCCCCTTTCTATCACAACCTCTCTATTCTGCTCCTCCTGCGCTCTGGTGTTGATAACCTCCACTTGGTGCAGCAAACATGAGTCTAATCAAAAACCATTTCCTGGTGATCTGGTGGGGAGAACACCAAGGGCAAATATTACAACAAATCATTAGGTGACCCTAATTAAATCTGTAGATTACAATTATTTTGACCAAAACCAGGCTTTACATTTGAATTTGTGATCTCATAGAGCTGCAATTTCTACAACAAAATTTCTTCCACAAGTTTTTGGATCCTGGCCACGGGGGTTTGTTCTCGTTCAGCCAGAAGAGTGTTAGTGAGCCATTGATGCAGGGCATTAAGGCACTCTGATCAAATGTCAGTGACCTTATGAACTGGTCAGCTGCCAACAAATAGGTGTATTTATTGTTATTATTGTTTGTTTAATACTCGATTCTGATTGGTCAATAACTCAATACTATGGTGTGTTATTTCTGTTATGCACACATTTCTATGTATGCATTTCTTATGTTAAATTCTGGAGAAGATATTTTTTTAAATGAATAAATTATTTTTTAAATAAAAAAAATAGTTCTTAAGCTAAGATTGGTCTCAAATGATTAATTTAGCCATGTAATAAACAGGATAATATCCAGCCAGCCGGTCATTATTACACCATCCTGCTGTGTTCATTTTGAAATAATGAACAGCTAGCTGTATATTATCCCATAGACGCGCTTAACATTTTACTTGTTTACCCTATCATTTTAAAATCATTGGGTAAACATGAGGTTCGGTGGAGGTGAAATCTCATCAACATTATTCCAATTTGATGTAGTCTTAGGAAAAAAAACTATTAATTATTTCCACAGTATAATCAGTTGTAGCAAGGGATATTTTGCTGACCTGAAGGACGGCCCCGGAGCGTGGTTCGATGACTCGCAGCTTCTTGTCTTTGCAGCTGGTGGCCAGCAGGCTGCCGTCGGTGTTGAAGGACATGCTGAGGATGACGTCAGTGTGGCAGTCGATCATCTTCACCGGCTCTCCGATCTCCAGGTTCCAGATCAGGATCTGACACGGGAGAGAGGGAGAGTTTGGGTGGAGCTGTTAGATTGCTGTAGCGCTTGATTCAGATGGTGTGATTATGTTGTGGGCTTGGGACTAGAATTTGCCTTTGTTTTTGTGTGCTACTAATAACACATCCGACAGTAGTCTGTTCTGATATTCAAGGTGAAATAAAAACAATATACTTTTCATATAATTACTAATTCTATTAATCGTTCAGTTTATAAAATGACCTAAAACACAATTTTTCAGAGCCCAAGGTGTTATATTTATGTTATATCTGACAAATACCCTGAAATACTCATTTGATTATGATATGGAAAGTTAATATTTAGGAAGCTATAACCAGCAATTATTTGGCATTTGTGCTTGATAAATACAAACAATAATTGATTAATCAAACACAATATCATATAAGAAGAATACTTTCAAAATTAACTAAAAGGTACTCTCAAATAAATCAAGTGACACGTTTTATATATCTAAAAGTATTTGAGTATCTAAGAAGGCATGAATTAAAAACATTTAGCTGCTTATAAATCCTGTTAAGCCCGAGCCTGTTTTTCAGGTCTCAGGCTCGAAAATGACATTCCCAGAACAAATGACCATATCTTGCCTTCTAAAAGGGTTAAATTAATAATTTTTTTTCTCAAAGCAAGGTTACACCTGTGAGTTGGATGTAGAAAAGTCAGAATCAATATAGATGTTTTTATTTTAAAGTAAATTCAGATTGAACACAGTAAAACAAATTTAAATGATTGTGTCCGTCCAAAAAAAAAAAATACTTAGTGAAAACCACCCTTGAATGATGGGATGGTAGACTAAAAGCTTTAGGAATCCAAACTACAACATATAATAAGTACCCTGTATCAAGATTGATGCAAAACAAGTGAAATTTGACCTTTTTAGAGAGATTTAGCAACAAAAAAACCCACTTCTGGGGTCATTTGGGTGGATTTTCCATATCTCTGGCCCCCCTTGGTCGATTTTGATGATTAACAGCTCTTTCTAACCGTCAGAGCCAATGGAATCGAGGGGAACTCCCACATACACACACACATTACCAAATAAGGAGTGAGTGACGCAAAAACCGGAAACTGCGATAACTCTGGTGGCTACCTTTAGCAGCTAACTTTTACTCCGATTTTTACATAAAAATTGAAGTATGGATTATAAATAATTTTTTCAAAGCGACAGACACATTGTCAACCTATGGATTAATGCCATTGAACACGTCTTTTGATCAGATTGACAGCTACGGTGAGACGATCTCCCGTAAAAGCTCCATAAAGGTACGTGTTGTGATGTCTGTGTTTGCTTCCCCTGTCGCGAGTTCGGATCGCTCAGTGATGATACTATACCTATATAATCTGTGGAACCTCAGCTTTAATCGGATATCTTGTATGTGCAGCTACGATAAGTAATAAGGGTATCTTTATCTTGAGTTCTGTGCCAAAGTACGCTAGCATTTTTCGCTCAGGGGTCATTTAGATGCTTCTTATGAGACTTGCGTTTTGTTTTGGTAAAAATGGTTTGTATCGTCAGTTAGCTGAGATTATTCCCGTTAATCTGGTATAACACATTAATAGGTTCTTAAATATTAAGATCCCCTGAGACACAGTGTCGTGAAAAAAAAAGAAAAAAGACCCGCCGAGGGGGTCTTTGGGGTTTAACAGGATGACTCGTAGTGCTTTCAGTGTACTTTGCTGATTTGAGCTTGGTTACATGTTACTGTGCAGTACCTTGTAATCATAGCCAGCGCTGAAGAGAATGCCGCTGCTGGTGGGGTGCCACTCGATCACACCCACCCGCCTGCTGTGGCCGTACAGCTCCAGCACCGCCTCCGTCATGTTGCGCCTCAGACCGCCCTCTGGGATCTCCCATACTCGCACCTGCCGCGTTAACATGAAACAGTCAACAGAAAGTATACATAATGCAAAAATATACAGTGCAATCACCATAAAGCACACACACGTTTTTTATAGAACAGTCCAATAAGTATGTATTTAAGTAAGATTTGGTCAGAGGCAACTTTTTGTTTTTAAATGGCCGCAATCAACTTAACACAGCTAGAGATCCCTCTGATCGAAAATAGCCCACGGTATCAATGCAGCCCATTGCATTAGGATTAGTCTGGATTACAGATATGGCTAGAGGCTCTGTGTTGGTCCAGAGGAGATTATCCGTCAACAAGTGAAAGTACTTTACAGGACACAGTGCTGCATGGTTTTACTGTAGACTAACGTAACATGTGCGTGGGGAAAAGGCCTACAGGTTGTATATTTGCAACATTGGAGATTGAGAGTGATAGTAATTAAGATTTGATATTGTGTCTAATGTGATTTACATAGTCAGCTAGTGGATTTGTGACTTGCACAAAGGCATTTCACATCAGTCATGTGCCATTTTTAGGCCGCTTGCTCACAATAACAACTGCAGCAGTAGCTGCCGGGCGAAATCCAATCACAAGCTTGTGTACAGTGCAAACTCTCTACATCCCACACCCTGTGGACATAGTGATTTCATGACCTTTTTGCCTTCTGAGCCAGTGGCTGTCATGATTCACAGATTCATCTTCAAAGTTTCACAATACTATATTCCTCTATAATCACTTGTAAAAAAACATTAACAATGTAATAAAGTAGGTCACTTACAGAGGTGTCCTCCGAGCAGGAGGCTATGATGTTTTCAAAGAAAGGATTCCACTTGATATCCAGTACATTGCCTTGGTGGCCACACACTTTTGGGTAATGAGAGTCTAGGCGGCCAGACTGAAACAAAGAAAGAGAAATTGTTATTTTGCATTTTCTTTTTATGTGTTAGCATGTTGGTGAAAGGAATGAATTAAGCATGGTCATGGCTTGGCTTATTAGGACCTACGTGAACCATACTATAATCAAGAGGTTATACAAAAATGTAAGTGTAAGTGGTAATTCAATTGATAAATGGTGCAGTCATGTTATTGAAACATAAAATGCATAAAACCCAGTACATGGCATCTTCGGTAAAACATGTCAAAAAGATTTTATTATAAAAGAATGTTAATAATACAAATAAATGAATCTGTACTGATCTCCGAGGAACATTAATGAACACATTTTATTGATGTGAACACGAAAGACGAAATAAAAATCACATCAGAGATGATTTAATAAAGCAGAGCAGGTTATTGTACTGGGACATCTGAGGCACATCTCTGTTATTGCAATAACCGTCAGAGTCCACAGAGGGGCAGTGGCTCACAACAACAGGGGACAGACACCACCTCCAAATGTCGGTCATGTTGTCATGAATGTTTGATGCAACTTCAATCCACTGACCTATTTTTTTGTTCCCTCAGAGATTTGTTGAGGAGCGTCGGGTCATGCCTCAGTGAAATCCTGTGTGTGTTTAAGTCCACTGTCCTTACTGAACCCTGAACATTCACTCCATATGTTATCAAGCCCTACTCTGAACTCTATCAACCCTTCTATAATATAACAAATATAAGAAACAATGACAATAAAATGCAACATGTTTGCACCCTGAACCTGAAAGAGAAAAGTAATGCATTTCCTAAATTAAAAGCAATAAAAACATTAAAAAAAAAAAAAAAAAGATTTACTAAATTGTAAATCATACAGCCTCAGTAAGGCTTGAACTATGTTTAGGTATGTATATTAATGACAGTGAAATATCATGTACAGTGTGAAGCTGACCGTTGAGCGCCCCAGACCAAGCAAGGAGGCAGAGGCAGAACGTCCAAAAATATAACCCGACGTGGGCATTTATTAAAATCTTGAGCACAGGACACAGCCTCAATCTTGCTGTTCCTGTGCACACAGCCACCAGCCTCAAGGATCTCACACACCCTACCAGCCTTCCAAAACAGACAGGGCAACAGACCCTAAATACACCCACTCTAATCAGCACAACAAGACACAGGTGAGGGGGGAGGAGACAACACAGGACACCAGGTGCACACAATCATCAGCCTGAAGCCGTCAGTCCATAGTGACGAAGTTACCTTCGTCACATTTCCTTCCCCCTCTCCCCAGGAAGCACAGTGTCTTTACAGTCTCGGCTTCGGGACAACCAGTCAGCCACCCGGTTTCAACGCCGCCTCCTCGGCCTGCAAACGCTGCTCCTCCTGCTTGTCTCTCGTCTCCTGCTGCTTGTCTCTCGTCTCCTGCTGCCTCAACAGCCGTGGCCCCCTGGTCCGTTCCAGGCATAGCCACCGCCAGCCGCGGTTCCTCTCTTTGGTCCCTCTTCTTTCCTCTCGTAATTTTCACCTCCTTACTTGGTCAAATCCCACTTCTGACACCAATTGTGAAGCTGACCGTTGAGCGGCCCAGACCAAGCAAGGAGGTAGAGGCAGAACGTCCAAAAATATAACCCGACGTGGGCATTTATTAAAATCTTGAGCACAGGACACAGCCTCAATCTTGCTGTTCCTGTGCACACAGCCACCAGCCTCAAGGATCTCACACACCCTACCAGCCTTCCAAAACAGACAGGGCAACAGACCCTAAATACACCCACTCTAATCAGCACAACAAGACACAGGTGAGGGGGGAGGAGACAACACAGGACACCAGGTGCACACAATCATCAGCCTGAAGCCGTCAGTCCATAGTGACAAAGTTACCTTCGTCACATACAGTATACCTACATTGCTCAATATTAGCTTGCTACTGACACCAAGCTGTTAAATAGCTATAATATTAATATCAGTGTATTCTCAGCACCATACAAAAAGATACAGTAAATAGAAAAATAAACACAAAAAGCATGCAGATCAATAAATACTTTTTGAATGTCATACTTGTAGCTTATCCAATAAAAATAGACAAGCAGTAGGTGTGCCAACAGGAAACAATGTTTCAAGTTTGCCAAAGTGACCAAAAGCAATAGACATAAATGTCTGCCAAACTTTTACAACAGTTTAGTGGGACATCAATTCAGTCAATAAAACAGCCAAGGATAGTATGAGAAAGTGTGACTCTTTAACATCACTCCCGTTATTTTCTGCCAACTTTGGACCACAATAGCTTCTCACGACATCCAAAAAGAAACTCAATTTTGGGTACATGTACAGATTGTGCTGTTTTTCCTTTTAAATATTAATTGGTTGGTCGTTAAAATGTGAGAAAAAAGCAAACAATCGCATTAAGGCAATATCCCAGAGTGCAAAGTGACACCTACTGGCACCAAAGATTAATTAGCATTTTTTCTTGGAAAAAATTACAAATGCTTTTAAATAATTAAAAGATAATTTACAATGAAAAGCAACGATTCAAAAAGCACCACACCCACTGCCCTCTCTTTGTCTGAGGTGATGGAGAGGTGTTTGTCACCTGATGAGGTGATTTCTGGGCCGGTGTGTGTGCCAGGTGGTGCCAGCGGTATTCCTCCCCCTTGCTAGTGGCGTCGTCTGGGGCAACCATATGTCTGTCTCGCCGGCTGTCATCATAATATGTCTCACACCTCGCCATTAGCCAAGCACACACACATCAGATTGAATTTCTAATGAAGGAGCAAGAGGAGCTCATTTCAAACGTTCACAAATGTAGTTGGCCTTGTATTAAGATTTTACTTTCCTTCAGTGCTTATATTTCCAACCTTGTTCAGGTTATTTTTCTCTCATTTCTTATCAGTTTTGAGTGATTTCATATAATTGGACTCAACAAACTGCCTTTAGTTGATGTACTTAACACTGGAGACAGCTATTGATTTTGGTTAGTGTGACTTAAGTGGGACTGTTGACATTGACAACCTCTTTCTAATTAAGATTTAACCCCATCCATCGATTTCGCAGTTTGATATACTTTTGATAAGCTAACTCTGTAGCCAAAACATTAAACATCCTGCACTATAATGTGCATTGTATACAGCACCTTAAATGCACTGTTAATGCATCCCAATACGTTTCTGTGTCTCTGGAGGGTATCGATAATTTATTAACTAACATCACAAATAAGTGACCACGAGCCTAATAAAGACAAACTAATAATAATTCTTATTATTCAACACCATATATTTAGCATCAACACATTAAACCCAAACTAAGATGTGTTTTTACTATTCATCTAATACAGAGGATAACTTAAGTTTGCTGATGTGTTGTTTTGAACATCCCACAGAAGCTGTCAGCTGTGCTGCTGCTGCTGAATATGAGAAATGCATTTCTGACCTCGTCAGCTCAGCAGAGGAAACGCTTAAGTGCAGTACTTTGAACAGGAGGAAATTGATCTAGTATGCTCTTTAGAAGGGTCATGGATATAGTCAATATACAGCAAAAAAATACCATTTGTGAAATGTGAGATTGACGTGAGGTATTATTTTACCTTTGTTCAGGATAGGTTTTTTAATAAAGTATAATAATCACTTGAAGATGTGTTTATTGCCAATCCATACCACTGTATTCATTTTCAGCTCATACATCTTTATTTCTTCATGACTGGATTGACTAATACAAAAAAGTCATTTGATGCCGGGCAGATTTTCTTCATATTAAAAAGCTCAAAACAAAGTGAGTTTCATAAACAAAGAGCTCTGCATATTAACTGCCCAGAGACCTCTGAGTATTTCCTGCAGCCTCACCAATCTTAAAAGCCATATCTGATATATCAGTGTAGGGGGACAAAATGAAAAACACCCTTAAAAAAAACCGTAAAGGTTATATCAAGACGATGCCCTTGTTATGTTCTTGCTAGCTTACATAACACTATTAGATATTGACTTCAGATCTGAAGAAATGGTTTAAAAAGCTGACATTATCTCAGCGCTTCACACCAAGTATCTCATCACCAAAAGGTCTCTTTCCATGACTGAACACAAAAGCTCCTGATGATGTAACGTAAAATGTCGGTCTCCCTGCCTCTTATGGCAGAGGCTCTCAGCTTACTGAATACTTCTTCTTCCTGATAACAGCGTGACTCGACTCTGCCTGGCAGTCAAGAGCTTTTTTAAAGTACCTTGGCAGCGCCGCTCTTAAAGGGACAAAACACTCTTTTTATGATTTCTCAGACCTACACTCTGAACTACAAATTGAGGTTAGAGGTGAACTACGTCAATGTCCTATGGAAAAATTACTCGCATATGTGCCGCAGTAATAACGTGATCAAAAATCAGCCTCACATCGAAAACAATTGCCAATTACATAGGCAACTCTATTCATAATAGGCACAACATCAGCATTTAGAAACACATTTATGATCTCTATATGAAACCCAATATGATCAACACATAAAAAAATGTGAGCAAACATGTTCTCACTTAAGCACAGTTCTTTGAAAAATTACTTTCCACTAATGTGTTGAACGATTTATCAGTTTACTATCAGTATAATATCTCTCAAATGTGCCACTGCCAGGCTTATCTTCCACATACAAATCTGCAATGATGTTGTATAATGATTAATCCAGCAAAAGCAGGAAAGCAGAATGTGCTGAAAGAGAAGAGATTGTTCAGTAAATACAGACACATTCACTTTTCCTACATGTAGGAAAGAATTTCACACTTTCCATAACAACAGGGGCATTTTGTGTTGTTTATGGGAAATACCTAGTACTCAAGTTGTAAAAAAAAAATCAGGGGGGATGGTGGATTTTATCATATGGGGACATAATTTGTGCTGATAACCCGCCGAGGATGGGAGACCAACCAGCATAAAGATAATTATTATACTCCTAAAACAACATGCATGTTATGGATGTTCAGATACAGCTGAGATACTCCTTTCATTGCTCTTGACCAAGGCACCTCAGAATTAGAGTCGGTCCCCGGGCTG